ACTCCTAAGTGCACCGCTCACCCTTTCCCCCTCATCAATTCTATGATTCACCTCATCTTTCATAGACCCATCCGCTGACACGTCCACTCCCAAATATCTGAATACATTCACCTCCTCCATACTCTCTCCCTCCAATCTGATATCCAATCTTTCATCACCTAATCTTTTTGTTATCCTCATAACTTTACTCTTTCCTGTATTCACTTTTAATTTTCTTCTTTTGCATACCCTACCAAATTCATCCACCAACCTCTGCAACTTCTCTTCAGAATCTCCCAAGAGCACAGTGTCATCAGCAAAGAGCAACTGTGACAACTCCCACTTTATGTGTGATTCTTTATCTTTTAACTCCACGCCTCTTGCCAAGACCCTCGCATTTACTTTTCTTACAACCCCACCTATAAATATATTAAAAAACCACGGTGACATCACACATCCTTGTCTAAGGCCTACTTTTACTGGGAAATAATCTCTCTCTTTCCTACATACTCTAACTTGAGCCTCACTATCCTCGTAAAAACTCTTCACTGCTTTCAGTAACCTACCTCCATTTGTGTACACATATTGGCTTCTGCTGCTAAGGTATGACTTTAGGTAGTTGAGGGAGTGCCCTCTTATGCCATAGTGTGATAATTTTATGTGCAGCAAATCATGGTCAACTGTATCAAAAGGTTTACGTAAATCAATGAAGATCCCCAGTGGGACTTCTTTTTTCTCGAGTGCAGTGTATATTTGTTCTAGCATGTGTATAATAGCATCATTCATATTTTTATTATGCCTGAATCCAAACTGACAGGGGTTGAGTATGTTGTGGGAGATGAGGTAGGAATAGATTCGCTCATGAATTAGTTTTTCAAAGATTTTAGAGAGTGTGTGTAAGTTGGATATTGGCCTATAGTTATTCAAGTCTGCTTGATCTCCTCCTTTATGTATCGGAGTGACCCTCGCTATTTTGAGAACTGTAGGGAAGGTAGAAGATTCGATGGATTTGTTAAAGAGTGTTGCAATGATTGGTGACAGTACTTGTGTAGCTTTTTTGTATATAAAGGGTGGTAAGGTATTTAAATCTCCTGTCTTGTTCTTTAGTGTGTTGATAATAAGGGAGACTTCTGTTGGGTTAGTCGGAGCTAGGAATAGTATGTTCGGATAGGTGCCAGTGAGGTAGTCATTAGGTGGGGTATTTGAGCTTGGGATTTTACCTGCAAGGTTTTTTCCTATGGTGGAGAAGAAAACATTGAGTCTGTTTGCTGTTTCAGTTGGTGGGAGTAGGGGTTCATCTGGTTTTGTTAGTGTGATTGTTCTGTTTCCTGATATCTTTTTTGTTCCTAGAATTTCAGATAGGGTTTTCCAGGTTTTTTTTATATCACCTTTTAAGTTGGATAATCTGTTCTCATAATACATTTTTTTTGCCCTTCTTATCAGGCTGGTTAGGATAGACGTTTAACATTTTGTTTGGTCTCTGGTTATGTGACCCATTCTGTGCAGTTTTTCATACTTGTGCTTTATATTTATGGATTTGAGGATGCTGGGTGTTAGCCAGGGACTGTTCAGTCTCTTAGCTGTCATCTGTTTAGTTTTTTAGGGCAGTGCTTGTTATAGAGGTATTGGGTCTTTTTTAGAAAATTATTAATACATTCGTCAGTATCTGTATAGATTTCTAGCTCAGTTTGCCAGTCGATGTTTGTCATTGCTGTTGTGAAGTTATTAGTGACTGCCTCATTATGAAGTCTGAAGGTTACTTTGGCAGTGTCTTGGGGTAATTTACCTAGATTGGTTATTAGAAAGGTAGGGTAGTGGTCTGTGGTAGTATCTGTGATTATGTACAAGAATGGTATACAATACTGACAAGATGAAATTAAGACACATGTGCAACATCTGGATATCTTTATTGTAGACGTTTCGCCATCCAGTGGCTTTATCAATACAAATTCCAGGACATAACTTGAAGATAGTAGAACTATGTACAGAAGATGAGGTAATCAGTCCCTCAACCTTGGAGTAGGTGCGAAGAGCACCGTAGTCGTGGAGATTCTGAAGCAGAAGCAAGGCGCCTGATGCTTATATACTAGCGTCAGGTGGAAATGGGACGGGTAGCAGACAAGGGCATAGTCACTGGTAGGCGGGATTCCCCAGTGGAAGTAGGTCCTACCCAGAGAGATGGGTTAGTTGTTGTAGTCGTGAAGGTATTGTGCATGTCCTCAGAATCAAGATTCCATGATGTTCCAGTGTCTGACAAGTTGTACAAGAATGGTATACAATACCGACAAGATGAAATTAAGACACATGTGCAACATCTCGGTACCTTTATTGTAGACATTTCGAGTTTGTATTGATAAAGCCACTGGATGGCGAAACGTCTACAATAAAGATACCCAGATGTTGCACATGTGTCTTAATTTCATCTGTGATTATGCCTAATTTTAAAGGGGATATGGTGTTGGTCCAGATGTGGTCTAATAAGGAAGCACTAGTCTCTGTAATTCTTGTAGGTTTTGTTACTGTTGGTAGTAACAAGTAGTTACTCATAGTGTTTGTGAATTCAGTTACATGTGGGTCCTGGTCTTGCAGGAGATTTATATTGAAGTCTCCTGAGAGTAGTAAGTGATCTTTATTCATGCGTGCATCAGTTATCATACTTCCTAGGTTTTCACTAAAATGACTGGTATTTGACTCTGGTACTCTGTATATGTTTATCACTGTGAGAGGTTTTTGTAGGTATTTGGATTTGAATTTAGCTATTATACATTCCCCATGTTCATCCCTTGTGCAAGTATTATTGATACATTGTAGTAGGTGTGAGTAGTATATAGCTGTGCCACCCCCTTGTTGATCTGGCCTACAGTTGTGAATGGCTGTGTAACCAGGAATGGCATAGACATCTGTAGTATCTGGCTTTAGCCAGGTTTTGGTGAGAGTAATGATGGACATACTGGCATGCAAGGAATTTAGTAATGCTGTGAGGTCATCGTAATGTTTGCTTAAAGATCTGACATTGTAGTTAAAGACAGTTATGTTATTGTTGGCTTTGAGAAGTGCCTTTGTTTGTTCTGCTGTGTAGTAATTACAGTTGCTGTTTGATTCATTTAAGTCATTCAATAAGAGGTTGGTATCAGGATCAGTGCTTGTAATCATAAGATTTATAGTGAATCTATAATTAGACTTAAGTATAAGACATTGTAAATATTCTAAAGCATAATTTCATATACAGTTATAAGCAGGTAGGCTTTTACAGTACTGTATTTTGAATATTAGTGTATAAAAATCACATGTGTATTATAGGTCAGTAATGAACACTTGTAAGGGAAAACGAAAGTCACTAACTAGCTCCACCATTGACCATGGGTGGACCTCAGTTTATTAGTCCTAAAAGATGATCCCATACACCTAACCAAATTAAAGAAAGCATTTTTTTTTTTCAAATAAGTTGTATTTTAATATTTATAAGCAGTAGTGCATTAATGTACAGCCATTACAGATAAATAATCAGAAGGTTACATAAGTGCCTGTTACATATTAATGGGGTTTCTGAGATATGAAGGTTGTCTGTATTTGATACTCCTAGAACAAATGCTTTAGATACATGTCTAAAATTGAGTTACATATTGAATATTCAGTTCTCCTGTACTCACTCTAACTCATCTAATGACCATATGAACTATGTGTTATTGCATTACTATCTTAAGTTAATCTTTAAATTTGCCCAAAATGCTCAGCATACAGAGGGGCTTTTGGCATGTACACCCAACTATTATATTCCTCTGTACAACCATATAATTTGTCAAAATAAAAAATCTAATCTAATCTAAAAAATTGCAGCAGTCCAGTACAGTATATTTTTTGTTTCTAATTCATTCCTTACATCATTTTTCAGGCACCAGCTTTACCAGTCTAAGGTTTTTATAGTATAGAGTAATTTTGGTAAAAATATCTTTTAGTTATTTTGAATCACTATTGGATTGAGTTCAAATTTCTTGCAGATACTGGGCAGCCCAAAAAGTGTCTTCGAATCGCAAAGAATGATATGGCAGCTGATAAAATTGGCAGTATGTGCAGGATTCAACAATTTTGTTGTCTAGACTGCACAATGCTTTGTTATGTTCATATGTTTTTAGGTCAATATGATTATTGGGTTGCACCTAATGCTTGCTTCATTCCTTAGTTTTTCTCTGCTCAGCAAATTTTGATTTAGTGGTGTCATAATTTAAACTTAGATGGATCTCTGTTACAGGGAAGGTGAGTTCTACAATTATGCATTTCATGGTCGGATTTGTTGCTAATTTAAATTAATTCAGTGTTTTAATTTGCATGTCCTGACCTAATTATCCTGCCCTCCTGTTATTTTATTTCCATACAAATCTAACTCCATAGCACTTATTTTAAATAATAAATTGTTGATCCTGCCTTAAAAAATGCACCAACCAGTTTACTAAACTGTAATAAAGATGTTTTGAGAAACTCCTGCAACATCCTAAATATAATTGTAAATCATCTTAAGAGTTAGTGTATTTGTTTAATGATTCTGTGTATGTGTAAATTTTTAATACACTAAATTTTTCCCTCCTAAAATATAGATGTCTGAAAATTTAAGCAGTAAACTACATGATAAAATGAAAACATTATATAAGTATTTGGCTTTTTAAAAAAACTGTCGAAAAAAAGTTTGCAAGGCATGTCCTAATTCTGACTACTAGGCAATCTTTTTCCTGCAATAGCTTAAGGACCTCAAGTCATTATTCACTGGTAATTTACTTAACATACACATGGCATAATATTGGCTTGGAAGAGCTGAGCATTTTGGTTCTTCATGGCAGTTGCCTCAAATATACTGCATAACACTCATAGTTTGTGTATCCATTTGATAGTAGATAATAAGAATAACCTAATAACCATGTACTGTATACTATAACAGTTGATGCATTTTTATAGACATTAATTTTATCACATTACAGTTAAGAGATTGCACGCCTACCTTCTTTAGCAGTCATTATTCTTTTTTTCAGTTCTGCCAAGCGGACTACCTCTTTCCCCGTTCGGGCAGCTTCAGCAAGTGAAGGAGTGATGCGATCCCGTGGTTCATCACATTCCCCACGACCCATCCACATGAGTATGAGATGTTAGCACCAGAAGCAGAAGGATTACACAAGAAAATTTCAATTAATATGTTGGAAGAGGAATCTTTCATCGCATTGAAAGAGAAATCTTTTATTTCATTTTGTAAGAAAATTTGATGTTTAAAGAATGTAAACTAGCCCAAGCTTTGAAACAATAGTCTTTAAGTTTTTTAATTAAATGAAAATGTTAGACACTGAAAACTAAAGTGGGAATCAAATGAAAATGAATTATGGTGTATAAAGAAGTCTCATAGTCATGTAATGGTCTCTTGACACATCAACACAGGAAGTAAGAGAAAGCTAGTATACCTCTTGAGTGTCTTGCCATTGACATTGCACTGACTTTATACTGAGTTGCAAAAAATTATTTTAACAAAAGGACACACTTAAGTACATCATTTTTAGACAAATTGCCAGCTAGTGTGTTTCATAGTTTCTGCTTAGTTTGCTAGGTTTAGTCTTCTGACAACATATGGGTTATTATGGCTGCATTTTACCTATATACCACCAATCAAGTATACTTTAATCCCATAAATAGGTATTAAGAGCAAATTCAGCATACATACACTGTTCATAGGTTCTGGTATTTTTCACTTGTTTACATTCATGTTAATAAGGGGCAACAGTGTTTATAGGTAAAAGATATATACAGTTTTAATAATTTATCTAAAAGTGTGAACTTGGAGATAGATTTGGAACACACTAGCTGGTGGTGGTTCCTGTATATATAAAGGCTACTTTCTTGTGTATATGTATTTAATATGGATCTTTGTACTTAGAATTTTTTTAGAACTACAATACCTTTTTATTGTTAAGTAAGTTAAATGAACTTAAACAATAGTATTGCATTTGCAGTAGTAATGTGGGCCTGTGCTGTGTGTGGAAGAGGTCTTTACATAAAGCCCACTGGTCACACATATTTACACAGATTATGTCTTACAAGTGATATTGTAAACTTTATAGTAACCATATTATTATGGAATTTAGCTCAGGTTGTATTTCTGTTAAGTGTGGTCATGGTACACTGCAATTTGTTATTTCAACAGTATACATAGCATTGTACATTATATTGTAAATGACAGTGTAGCTGCAATTTTTCTGAGTAGAATAGAGTAAGCACTTTGAGCACTGGAACATTTGTCATGGGTGTATTGTACTCCTAGCTTTTAGTTCCAAGATTACTTAATTTATTTATCAAATATGTATATAACATACATACTCTTATATTTTTCAAGGTTTTTTTATTGTTTGGATTTGCTTATGAATATTATTTAGGGACAAAGTTGCATGTGCAGTAAGCTCTCTTATAAAGCTTCTTTATATACTGTGATTTAAAAAAAATGCAATTGAAAAGGTGCTTCCAGAACTGAATAGTACATACTGTAAAGGCCTTTCCATGTGCTATTCAATTTTGAAAGTACTTTTTCAGTTGCATTTATGAAATACTGCACCATATAGGAGAATTTCATGAGAGAGCTGACTCTATATGATTCCAGTTTTGGCCAGGCACATAAATTTTAAGTACATACAGTATACTGTATATACAGACTCCCACACACATGTACAAGTGATGCATTATTTAAACCCCTGAGGTATAGGAGGCAGATGCAACTAGAGTGAGTGTTGAGTCTACAGCCATTAGACTATAGGACAGTATTTTCAAGTTCCATTAAGGCATTGCTAACTTAACGAAGTCAGTGTTGGGTGATTCATACAGTGATGGCCTCCTTGATACACATATCCCTGTTGGAATAGCTACCTTATGAAGCATGATTTAGGTTTTATATCAGATATCACATTATTAAATGTTTATATCAGTATTCTCAGTGACATACCATTATCATTACTTTTGACAAGTCATTTTTCATTATTGTCATTGCTTGTTCTTCACACCTCTGTCAGTAAAGTCACAAATCATTTCACTTATTTCCTAGGCATGACTTATAAATTCATCTTTATTGGTATAAATTTTTGTGGAAACCTTTATAATCAATCTATTATAATTGTCAGTGAACATGTGTGCAGTCTCTAATTTATGCCAATCATTCTTCAGAGTAGAAGTGACAACAGTGTGAAATAGTACATTGTTAATGGTAAAATCTTTATGAAATGTTTCAGTGGCCACTTTCTTTAAATAATATAATATGATATGCCTTAATTACCTCTTAGGGAGAAACAGTTGGGTGATAATTACATATCTTTCTTTCTTTCTTTCAACACACCGGCCGTATCCCACCGAGGCAGGGTGGCCCAAAAGGAAAAACGAAAGTTTCTCCTCTTACATTTAGTAATATATACAGGAGAAGGGGTTACCAGCCTCTTGCTCCCGGCATTTTAGTCGCCTCTTACAACACGCATGGCTTACGGAGGAAGAATTCTGTTCCACTTCCCCATGGAGGTAAGAGGAAATAAACAAGAACAAGAACTAGAAAGAAATTAGAAGAAAACCCAGAGGGGTGTGTGTGTGTATATATATGCTTGTACATGTATGTGTAGTGTGACCTAAGTGTAAGTAGAAGTAGCAAGACATACCTGAAATCTTGCATGTGTATGAGACAGAAAAAAAAAAAAGACACCAGCAATCCTACCATCGTGTAAAATATTTACAGGCTTCCATTTTGCACTCGCTTGGCAGGTCGGTAGTACCTCCCTGGGTGGCTGCCATCTACCAACCTACTACCTAGGATAATTACATATGTATTTTATAAAAACATTACATAAAACCAATTTGTTAACAGATGAGAGTGAACAGTATTATCAAGTACTTGAATTTCTTGCACTGCTCGTTGGCCATGTACACAAAATTTTTAAGGAGAGTTTGTTAGATTGTTGAAACAAAAAATTATACAATATAAAATAATAGAAAATAGGAGTATTCTATGTTTGTTTATTAAAATGTATAATAAATATTTTCTGTGTATATGTGGGAAGTACAGTGCCTGCACTTTAAAGGAGGGGTTAGACATATTTGATGTGTGGAGGGACATCTGATCTGTCATATCTGCATGCCTCTGGCAAAACAGTGATAGTGTGAATGATGGTAAAAGTGGATTTATTTCAGGTCACCCTAGCTCGGTCGGAGACAGCCAGTTTGTTAAAAAGCTGTTGGAGTGTGAGCAGGGTAATATTTTGTGATGGGATTCAGGGAAACCGGTTAGCCTGACTTGAGTCTTGGAAACTGGAGGTACAATGCCTGCACTTTAAAGGAGGGGTTTGGGATATTTGCAGTTTGGAGGGACTTCTAAGCTGTTTTATCTGAGTACCTCTGCAAAGACAGTGATTATGTATGAGTGATGGTGAAAGTGTTGAATGATGATTAAAGTTTTTTCTTTCTTTTTGGGTTTTTTCTTTTTCTCAAAAAAATCAACATTAGTTACAGAAGATATGGCTACCTTCAGACACACTTCCCTCCCTTTTTCCTTAGCACTTTTTGGTGGTTGTGTTTTTTGTATTTCTTTCCCTCTTTGTGTATTCATGAGTAATTATCAGTAAATTTATACCCTTAATTGCATGTAGATTTGCACTTTTTTCAATGACTAAGAATTTGCACATTTGTGTGCCGGTTCCTTTTGCACACATCAACACAGTTATAATCTCCTTTGATTCTTTCAGCTCAGCAACATTTTTTTGCTCATCACATAAGACAAGAGAATGTTGTACAGAACCTCACCAGAATAAGCTTGTGTCTACATTTTATTTTTGCAGAGCAATCAAATTATATTTCTCTACAAGTTTGAAGTTGATGGATGTCATGGCATTTCTTAAACCTTCCCGGTCATACATGGGAAGAGTCACAAAGCACTTTAAGCTTAGTGGTTTGTGAAAATACCCAGGCTTCTCAATTAAAATCCTTTTAAGGTGGAGAGCATCCCCATGCCACAGTGAAGGGGGATATTGATACTAAGAATTGAATCTCTTCTCTTCCTCAGATTGAATATAAATACGCACCAACCATCTCTCTCTCTCTCTCTCTCTCTCTCCTTCTGGCCTTAGCAGGAATGATTTTCCTTTCATGATGTCTAGTTGTTAGAAGGAAAAAGGAATCACTATCAGCCCTGTTCTAAAGTAACTTCACTGAGTGGAAAAGTAATGTGAAGGACCTGGGAGTGGTAATGACTGAGGATCTCACCTTCGAGGATCACAACAGTGCCACTATCACATCTGTGAGGAAAATGATAGGATGGATAATGAGAACCTTCAAAACAAGAGATGCCACACCATTGATGATCCTTTTTAAATCCCTTGTTTCTCTAGGCTGGAATACTGCTGTACACTAACATCTCCATTCCAGGCAAGTGAAATTGCAGATCTAGAGAATATACAGAGAACCTTCACTGCACATTTAAGTTCCATCAAACACCTTAACTACTGGGAACGCTTGGAAACACTTGACTTGTACTCACTGGAGTGCACGCGAGAGAGATACATCATAATCTACACCTGGAAAATCCTACAGATTGGTCCCTAATCTGCATACAGAAATCACTCTCTATGAAAGCAAAAGACTTGGCAGGCAGTGCAATGAATAGTAGGGGTGCCATTAGTACAGTAAGAGAAAATACAATAAGTGTCCGGGGCCCAAGACTGTTCAACAGCCTCTCATCAGCCATAAGGGATATTACCAGTAGACCCCTGGCTACCTTCAAGAGGGAGCTGGACAGATACCTAAAGTCAGTGCCGGATCAGCTGGGCTGTGGATTGTACATTGGACTACGTGTGGCCAGCAGCAACAGCCTAGCTGATTAAGCCCTGATCCACCAGTAGGCCTGGTCATGGACCGAACCACAGGGGCATTGATCCCCGGGATACCCTCTAGGTAGATAGTTAGTCGTGAGGCGATCATGTCACTCCCTAATGGAAATTGGATCATTTCAGGGCATATGAGGTGACCCTCGGGTGAGACATGAGGTGGCCGTCTAGCAGAACCTCTGATCAGAGGATTACTGCTGGAGATTACCTGTAGATCTAGGAGTGGTGGCTAAAAGTGTATGAATCCTGGCATTTTTTCAGGTTCACCAGCTACCATTACACTGGTCAGCAGTTTTTGAAAAGTTGTATGCTTCTTCAATGAGATTAGCTAATTCTTATGTATTTTCATGTCGTGACTCCAAATATATCACCTTGAAAAATGTTTATTGGCTATGGGTTTAAAGATATGAGACACGTAATATTTGAATATTTTATTATACCGTATTATACCGTACTATACCGTATTATACCATACAAGCCTCTTTTCTTGACGCTTATAGTGGGCTGAAGAATCATCTCTTGCCAATGTCCAGCAATAGTCTGCAAGCATTCTTGTGCCCCATTTGCCCTGGTACCATTTTTCTGTGGTTAAAATATCTTGGTGAAACCTTTCACCATGTTCATCACTAACTGCCCCACAGTTTGCTGAAAAAAGTCTAAATGTGAGTTCAAAAAGTGGATTTTAAGTGACATGTTATATCCCATGTTCTTGTAAGCCTTGATGAGGTTTTCCACCAATTCTTCATAGTTACCTTCCCTTCTGTTTCTGAGAACTCCCTTCGCCACTAACTTGAATGCTTCCCAAGCAACTTTCTCCTCCCCATGAAGGTCTGATTCAAAGTCACCATCTTTAAGAAGCTCTCGAATCTGAGGACCATTGAAGACTCCCTCTCTTATCTTAGCATCGCTCAGTGAGGGGACTTTTGATGTTAAATACTTGAGGTCCCTGACCGAATTTGTCCATAGCTTTTACAAAGTTTTTCATGAGCCCCAGTTTTATGTGTAGTGGTGGTAGCAAAATTTTGTTTGGTTCAATGAGAGGTGGATGTTGAACATTTTTCATCCCAGGCTCCAATGATTGATGAGGTGGCCCGTCTCTCCTTATGTGGTGGGAACCTCTTCATGTGCCTCACATGCATATCAATAGCTTGCTCAGTGAATATTTATTATAAGTTTAAAATGTGTTTGGCTAAGAAATTACCTACCTTTCACCTCAAAATATAAACTTTCACAGCACAACCATCTTCTATGACTGCTGGAACAATAATGAAGGGCAGTGAGACTGTGAGTGTGGTATGAAACACTACCACAAGCCTGTTGGAACCTGTTGTGACTAGTATGTGTATATTGAAAAGTAGAGCTAACAAACAATTTTAACCATGATATTCATTATCAGTGACCTAAAATTAGTTGGAAATTGCTACTATGGTCTCAGAAGCATTTTGGTTATTGACCAGTGAATTTATTAACTGAAAGAAGATTGCATAGTCACTGCTCTTGCCTAAGCAGGTAGTTTTGCTAATCTTTTGTCAGCCATTTCTGAAGGTGCCATCATAGTGTTGTGCACCACATAGAGAAAGAGGTTATTTCTAACTTCAGTATTTGTCACATTAGTGGTGACCATGGTTTAGGGTGGGTATGCAGTTTCTTCAAATTTTCTTGGAGCTGCTTTCCATTTTTTACCTCATTAGAAATGAGGCATTGGCAAACTTTCCTGAATTCCAAGTGACTGTGACACACTTTACTGACCTCTGCAAGACTTTGGACCCTCCTCAAAACCCAGAAATAGGCAATACTGATAATTCATGTACCTTCTCACTTACAATCTAGGTAACTCACCAACTAGAAATCTTTCTGCTTACAGGAAATATTTAGAAAATAAATCTGGACAAAATTTTTTTCCTTCCAGCCATTATACCCAAAGGCTTACCTGCTTACCTTGCATACCACTGTATTAGCAAGAAATTCATGATAACCTTTGCTATAACATCTCAATTCATACTCTGTGGAGTGGGAAATGTATCATCACCATATATAATGCAGACCAGGCCTGTAACCACCTTTTGTATATCTGCACTGTTGGTAACGTCTCAAGTCGTGATTCATGGCCATTCCTTCCTTATTTGTGCTGTAAGACTCATCATCCCACACACCATAATACTTCAAGAATTTACAGAATATGGCCTGGACATTCAAGAGCAATTTGAACTACTACATCACCCTATCATCAAAGCTGAAATTTGTGTACTTCCAGCCCACAAACAGAGATGATATTGATCAGTGTAGCCTAGCCAACTGTCGATTGCTAGGACCTCCCATCCTCAGTCTACATCATGGGACAGTGCTTAAAAACTAAAGAAGCTCAAATGAACACCCTAACAGCACTTGTGCTTTGGCCACCAAACAAAATAGAATGTCCAGTTTGCTGAGGAGTGGATGATAATCCATCCTGTGACCAACCTACTTGCATTAACCATGACACAGGATATCCTGCATATACCTGTTAGTGTCTCATTTTTCTGTGAGAAAGCTGAATACTTTGTTTAAAGGGACAATAGGGTGTGTCATACAGTATAGCAGTGACTCAAATTTCTCTCTCAGGAAAAATACCAAGGATATACTCCCAAGTTGCCTGACACCCTAAACACCTAGTAGAAATCTTTTAACAGTCACCCTAGTATTCAACCCTTATTCCTCATCTCTGATTTTTCTGCCACTTCACCTTCTTGCAGTCTTCACTACTTCTCAACCCACAGTCTTTTCTAGATGTTCCTTTAACATGATATATCTGGCCACCATAATCTAGCTTCGATAAAATTAGGGCTGAATGCAGTCATAGGAGGGTTCGACAATCAACCCCCCCATGAAAGATGAGCGAGGGTTTTAAGGAGGTTCAGCTGACTATGGCAAGTTGCTTTCTGGGAGGTCAAGTGAGGTTTCAAAGACAACTGGTAATCAAACAGTAGGCTGAGAAATCTGACCATATCACATTCAGGGATTCGTGAGCCATACAGGTACAATGGAGTATCAGGCAATTGAACATCTGTTGAAAGTAATTGTTGTGTTTTAGCACTAGGAAATTTAAACTCATGAGTAGTGACCCAATGGTAAACACTGTTGACACCAATCTGGAGTGAGGCTGCTACTAGGCGACAGCACCTGCACAAGCTATAGCAAAATCATCAACATAGAGTGATGACCAAATATTAGATGGGAGAACTGATGTCAGATCATTTATAGCAAGGAGAAAAAGGATGGTGCTAAGGACACATCCCTGAGGAACACCTTCAGTTTGGACAGAGTCCGGGGAAAGTAAATTATTAATCTGAACACGGAAATGTCTCTCGGATAAGTTTGCAAGAAAAAGTGGCAGATTGCCTCAGAGGCCTAAGGAGTGAGCTTGGGCCAAGACGTTATACCTCCAAGTAGTGTCATATGCCTTTTCAAGATCAAAAAAGACTGTGGTTACTAGCAAAGGCATTACGGACATAGGTTAAGGGGTCATTAATAGAGTGGCCCTTACAAAAGCCATATTGGTGGGGGGAGAGACTATTGTGTGTGTCAAAATACCACATCAAACATCTGTTTACCAGATGTTCCATCACTTCGCAAACTGCATTGGTAATAGCAATGGGACAATAGTATGAGGAGGCATGTCTTGAGGTACCTAGTTTACGCAAAGGTAGAACTACGGCAGATTTCAGCTGGGGAAGAACTCCTTGTGACCAAATAAGATTGAAAAGACGTAAGAGGACTGTAAGAGCCGATGGCTGCAAATGCGAATGCCATCAGGCCCAGCTGCTGCTGATCGGCAAGCGGAAAGTGTGGACTCTAGTTCTAGAAGTGTAAAAGGCACACTATATGGCTCTTCTCTGCTAGAAGAAAAGTCCAAGGACAGTAAATCTCTGGCAGGCTTGGAGGAAAGAAATGAAGGGCATAGATGGGGCCCTTTAGAGATACGGACAAGATTATTTTCGATTTCCTTGGCAATTTCAAGAGGGTTTGCAACTTTGACGCCGGCAACCTGGAGAATGGGAGCAGTGTTTGGAGAGAACTTTCCACTCAGTTTCTGCACTTTTTTCCAAACTGCACTCATTGAGGAAACAGACGTAATAGAAGAAACATAATCTTGCCAGTAAGTGCATTTAGCTTCACGGATGGCATGTTGGGCGACCGCTCTCTCCTGTTTAAAATCAAGGAGACACTCTGTGGTCCTATTGTAATGATATCGGCCCCATGCAGCATGTTTCAAACGTCCTGCACGAGCACAAGCAGGAGACCACCAAGGCACACATTTCTGAAAATGCTTGCTCAAGGTTTGAGATATAGAATGTGAAGCTGTGGTTAAAACTGAGGTGGAAAATAAGTGTAACAGCTCATCAGTAGAGGACGAAGAAGGGTTCTCACTAAAAACTGTTTGGAGCGAGTACAGATCCCAATTCGCGCATTCAAATTGCCAAAATGGGCTTCGAGGAGGGTGAGAATATGAATGGGAAGTAAGGAGGATAGGAAAATGATCACTGTCATGTAAATCTGGGAGCACAGACCAGGTAAAGTGAAGTGCAGTTGATGTGGAGCAAATAGAGATCAATACAAGAGATTGAGTGTGAGGGTCAAAATGGGTGGGAGTACCAGTATTTAAAACATGGAGGGGAAAGGAAGTGAGAAGAGCCTCTGACTGATCACCACAAGAGTCACAACGAGAGAGAGAAAGAGAGAGAAACCCCCCTCCCCCCCCGTCAGAAGAAATGATGAGCATTAAAATCACCTAATAACGGAATAGGTGGTGGTAAAGAAGAAACAAGAAACTACAAAAATAATTGTGGCTATATTGACATTTATCAAAGAGACAAAGCCCTTCAGATTCTCATCCTCCACAACCCTCTACAAACAACTTCTATGCATGTTAGTTCTAAGGTTACACACAGACACACTTTATGAACCTCCCTAGCCCATAGCCATCACCTGCTCTCTAATACTACTGCACTTATGGTAACTAATAATGGCAATATTGTAATGGAATATCAGAAGACACAGGGAGAATTGAGAGAGCTTCAAATGTTGATTTCCCAGTTTTCCTCTCTATGTATTTGTTTACAAGAACCCATACTGTGTAGCAGTCAGAATTCTATCTTTGACTATGTACTTTTACAGCCAGTCATCCTTTTTTCCAGTGAGACATACAACAACAGTGCATTTTTTTGTATGCAATTGATATAGTGGGAGTAAAGATAACATATGTAGGTTTTACCTAGCTATATTTTGAACACTTCATTCAACTTCCTGGAGGTAGTATGTATGCCTCGGATCATGACACTGAGTTTTGGAAGGACAGTGTTCTGTTCTGGGGACCCTTATTTTTCCTGACAAGTTTGTCATCTAATTCTTTCAGGAACTTTTAGTGCACTTTTCCCAGTAAAATTGCATGACACTTGTAACATAATAAATATATAGATGCTGCACCTTTTTTCACACCCTGCCTTGATCAGGTTTTGAGACCCACAGGGAAAGTTGACACACTAAGATATATTGTGTACTTATGAGAAGCCAATGTTATCATTAGTGAAGCATTTCTCCACTTGAATTAGAGTCTACATTAAAAAATTAATTTGTATTTAAGCAATCAGTCCTGTATAATTTGCAAGTAAATTGTTATCCCGGGGTGTAACATAATTGACTAGAGATGGCATCTGTTGTGAATTACATATGACCAAATAATAACTTGCTTGTAATAAAGTTGGTAGAATTACTGACAATATGTAAAGTAAAAGGACACAAGTGCAACTAATGTGACATTTTATTGTGGCAACGTTTCGCTCTCCAGGAGCTTTATCAAGCCATTACAAACAATACATGGACACAGAGGGTATATATAGGCTCAGAGTGAAGTGCAATACTAGTGGTAGTAGTAGTAGTAGTGACAAAAGTTGTAGTACTACAACTTTTGTCACTACTACTACTACTACTACTACTACTACTACTACTACTACCACTAGTATTGCACCTCACTCTGAGCCTATATATACCCTCTGTGTCCATGTATTGTTTGTAATGGCTTGATAAAGCTCCTGGAGAGTGAAACGTTGCCACAATAAAATGTCACATTAGTTGCACTTGTGTCCTTTTACTTTACAATAACTTGCTTCTCTATAGTGGTAGGTTTTGAGTTAGTTTCAGTTAGTTGTAGGTGGTCACATGTCTGCAACAGTCACCTATTTTATTCAGCACTGAGTAACCAAAACTAGTTCAACATTTTTAGCAAATATAACAGCATTATAAATAATGCAAACTTTGTAGTGGCGTCTTACTGCCACTATAGGAAGGTCAGGACATTTAATGTTAAATATTGTAGTGATTTTCTCACCAACACCCTGATGCTTATGTATTCCTGCCCATAATCAGTTCATGTGTTACCCAAGCTAAAAAGGGATCTCCATGTTTCAATAGTCTTTTGGCTGTCTGGTCTGCCTTCTCTACTGCTCCATTCTTCAGAGGATAACGAGGAGTTGGAAGTCATATACTATAGAGAAACTCACATTCCCTAGCAAAGTCTTAAATAATCATGAAGAAAATTGAGAATCATTACCAGAGTATCCTCTCATGGGAGGTTTTTGATATCAGTGAGGGGTTTTTGATCCAAGGAATTAGATCAGAACTCCCCTTCCTTGGAATTAACTTGATTGCCTCCTGTTCTCCCAGGCTTGGAGCACTAAACCCCCATGAATGTAATAATATAATAATTGTCAGAATAATTTTACCAGAATATCTCATCTTTTAAACATATTCCCTAGTTTTCTATAGTTAGTAAAACTTGTAATATATATCTTCTAAGTAAACAAGTTCACCCTACCTGGTTAGATAATCAGCCTCAATTTTTTTCTTCATGGATAACAGAAACCCACAGTATCTTAAACCATGGTTTTTGAAGTAGAGAATCAAGTTTTAAAAACTCGGCATGCTACTATGTACTGTTTGACAAAATGAGCATTGTTCTACCCATGGCTGCATACACTCACCATACTAATTGTTGGATTTCATGCTGACATTTCTGAAGGCAAATACTTTTTATCATGAATCCTGGAGAGCATTTCTTTACACTGTGACTTCACAATAACTTTCCAGTTTCTATACAACAATAACCGAGTCTGTAACATTCAAGAAGATTTTTGCTGCTGAGCATAATGGTAGACCAGATATTATCACCCTTAACAATAGTGCCTCCTGGCTGTCTTTGCAGGGTGCAAATTATCACCTTATTGAAGTTAGGATCCTCTGTGTTAGCTTTGTCTTTTAGAGCTGATTATAACAGGAAAAGCAGTTAAGTTTAAAAACTCCAATCTTTTCTACTTGTAGCAACATTTGAGCAGTTTTTCTCAATATTATTATCCTCTTCTTTGTTCAGAGTCTGAGAAAAGCTTCAATTATCACAATACATTTCCCAAGAACATAGCAGTCACAGAATTTGGTTAAACTCAATAACAAATCCTGCCACCTAACGGGCTGATAACAGTTCTTTATTGTTCATCAGTGGATATAATGTCTAATGATCTATTAGAAGTTTAAACACAATAGCAATAATAACCTGTTGTGGTTTCTCAGACATTAAAACAGAAGCTAAATTACTGATCCCTTTATACAAGGGTAAAAAACAAAAAACTACTGCTAACATTATTGTGGGCAATTAAAGATCAAAATAGAACCAGAGTATTAGCAAGATGCTTCTTAATTGTATTGTCTTGTTTGTCTTAACTGCCAAGATATTCTATTAGTAAATCTTGGTGGAGCTTTCACAAAAGTGATTACAACAAGACCTGGGTATGAGGCCAAAATCTTGTAAGATAATTAACCTGCCTGACAGTCACCTTGATTCATTAACATTAGGTGCTGCTGCAAGGGTATGCATTGTATTGACCACTATTTTTCCAAACCTTGTTTTGTTCCTTCTGGACTATTTATATAGTATGTCCTTAAAAAATATTTGTCTCTGGCCAAACATTCATTTGTCCTTATTTTAATTTTAACTCAGGAGTTGGAGCTTATTCCTCACAAATACAGGTAAGCACATTTATGGAAATAAATACACACACTCTTAGATGACTAAGACACACATACAACAGTTGGGTATCTTTATTGTTAAAACGTTTCACCTGCACACTAGGGTTCTTCAGTCAGATATGGAAGAGGAATAAATTTGGAGACAGCAGGAGTAGTGGTGAGGCAAAGATGATCTGGTCAGTCCCTTCAGGCTGAGAGACTGACCACCTCAAAAACTACTTCAAGGTTGAGGGACTGATCACATCGTCTTTACCTCACCACTACTCCTGTTGTCTCCAAATTTATTCTTCTTTGTATCTGACCGAAGGTGAAATATTTCAACAATAAAAATTCCCAACTATTGCATGTGTCTTACTCATCTATTTGTCAGTACTGTGTACCATTTTCATAATTGCACACACTAGTTAGGGAAATATACACACACACACACACACACACACACACACACACACACACACACACACACACACACACACACAGGAGGGTCAGGGGAGACATGATAACAACATACAAAATACTGCACGGAATAGACAAGGTGGACAAAGACAGGATGTTCCAGAGATGGGACACAGACACAAGAGGTCACAATTGGAAGTTGAAGACTCAGATGAATCAAAGGGATGTTAGGAAGTATTTCTTCAGTCATAGAGTAGTCAAGCCGTGGAATAGCCTAGAAAGTGAAGTAGTGGAGGCGGGAACCATACATAGTTTTAAGGCGAGGTATGATAAAGCTCATGGAGCAGGGAGAGAGAGGACCTAGTAGCAATCAGTGAAGAGGTGGGGCCAGGAGCTATGAATCGACCCCTGCAACCACAAATAGGTGAGTACACACACACACACACATGATAACGACATACAAGATACTGCGGGGAATAGACAAGGTGGACAGAAATAGGATGTTCCAGAGAGGGGACACAGGGACAAGGGGTCACAACTGGAAGCTGAAGACTCAGACGAGTCACAGGGACGTTAGGAAGTATTTCTTCAGTCATAGAGTTGTCAGCAAGTGGAATAGCCTAGCAAGTGAAGTAGTGGAGGCAGGAACCATACATAGTTTTAAGAAGAGGTATGACAAAGCTCAGGAAGCAGAGAGAGAGAGGACCCAGTAGCGATCAGTGAAGAGGCGGGGCCAGGAGCTGAGTCTCGACCCCTGCAACCACAATTAGGTGAGTACACACACACACACACACACACACACACACACACACACACACACACACACACACACACACACACACACACACACACACACACACACATATACATACATCTATATACAGGAGTAGGAGCTGAAACTCAACCAACATACATACCTATTACACACAATTAAAAACACTAGCTGTTAACTTATACGGTACAGTTCTAAGTATCTTTCAGAAATTTTAACTAGTTCAGGTATCTTTGTGTCGGTGCTCTCTAATATTCATGACTTGTAATGAAATTCAAATGTTTCATGATTAATTAAGTCATTATGATACTACTACTACTACTACAGAATTTTACACAAATAACCCGCACATAAAAGAGAGAAGCTTACGACGACGTTTCGGTCCGACTTGGACCATTGACTTTGTCAATGGTCCAAGTCAATGGTCCAAGTCGGACCGAAACGTCGTCGTAAGCTTCTCTCTTTTATGTGCGGGTTATTTGTGTATCGTTCCAGTCACGGTATTGTGCCTTTTTGTTATTTATTTAACTACAGAATTTTGTTTTTGGCATTTGTATTATTATCTTCAAAGCTTATTTCATGGTATAGAATGTTCACATAAGGCTTTGTCAAATAACAGACTTCTTTACACAGTTTGTCATCTGTAATTTTACTTGGATAATGCAAGTTAGGAAATACTCAGAATTTGTTTCACTAGTGTTTCTTGAGTAATGATGTAGAACTTATGTCAGTATTAAATTTATAATTGTAAATAATCTCAGTAGGGCAATTAAATCATCTCTCATCTCGTAGGATTTAAGGAGATGATAACATACCAATGTTTCTCATGTGTGTAAAAAGTTATTATTTTTCACTATGAAATAGGAAGGGCTACCATTTCCTGGTGTATATTTACTTGGTATCTTCATTGTAAATTTCAGTAATGTTACATGTATATTTTTGACATGTATGAGACATAAATACAGCACCAGTGTGATAATATGGACCAGAATTTTTTAGATTAAAAATGTGTTATACTATTATGAAAATGGTGCAATATGCACTCGGATAATTACCCAATGTTAATGTCTTCCTTCCAAGAAAGCTTTATATGAAAACATTGATCAGTTTCTTTGAAATTTGTTTTTTAGGAGATTACAAATAAAGACTTAACAGCAACAGTGTTATAAAATATTTTAATGAAATAACTCTGTGGCAAATTTACTATCTGTGATATTATTTCTCACTCATGCCATCTATTTTTGTTGGAATACAGTATCTTAAATTTTTGTGGGAAATGTTTAATCCAAAAACTGAATTACCTGAAATAAGATACAATGTATTGTAATTAAAGTTCCCTCTGTAAATTCAATCCACTCCTGAAATGTATTATATACATGTTACCTAAAATATGATTTTAAAGATGTATGAATGATAGATTACATTATGATAGAAAAATCACTACTATATTAAGAAAAATAAAGGACTAGTGTCATTGCGTAATATCACATGACCTTTTGAACTTAAGAGGCCACAGGATGTGGTAAACCTGTACTGGCTCTTTGTCTTTCTTAATAGTTTTTCTATCATTTATTTTCACATTTTTAAGAAATTACCAAGATCATATTATGTTTTGTATAAGAGATATTAATACACTAGTGTTTGCATGCTAAACGTATTGAGAATATTTTTTACTTTAAATCTCATTTAAAGGACTTGGTAATATAGACACAATGTAGTTATCTAAGGATCCACTTATTGTATGGAGTAAACCAGGCAGACTGTTCTATGCTTGATTATAGACATATCCTATAACAGACTCCTCATGCCTTCAGCTGTTTTATTGGTTTGTGGATCTGTTATCCAAATGTGGATAACGCAGACATGACTTATTATATAAGGCATATTTAATAAATTAGCTGAAGACTTATTGCATCTACGTATTGATATTGCCTGCTTTTTCATCTTTCCTTTCTGACTTTGCAGTCAAGGCAGTCACTCTTAACTACTATATCAATTATCTTTGACAAATTTTTCTTTGTCATATTTTATAGACTAGACACACAAATTTGTCTAAGTTGGATATTTTTATGTATTTTCGTACATTACAACAAACTTTTTGCCATTCTCACTGAAGGAAGGTGGACAGAACAAACAAAACCAGCTGTTGAAGTTCTTGGCTGTGACCATCAAAGATAAATATTTAAATAAGTGTTACCTTAAAATGGTACTAAAAAATTACTCTTGTTAAAATTTGATAACAGAAAAAACTGCTGATCCAAGTGTAATACATTTGAAGTAAATTTAGGTGCTGATAATAATTTTATTAATTGTGAAAGTAAAATTTATATTTGATGGCATATCCAAAGGCTAATATTACACATTTTGAATTAATTTATTCAGAAGCTGGTCACAGTTTAATTATGATTAAGGAAAACAAAATAATGAGTAATATACAGTACTGTACCTAACATGCTGGCTGTACTTGTGTATATCGGTACATAAACTAACAAGAATTAGCTGTGTTTTCTTTCACCTGTAATTAAGACATTTATCATTGCTATAAAGCTCTGTTAAGTATATAATTATCTAGTCTCCCAATAGTCACTGTGGAATAAATGTTCAGGTAAATTTATACTTTACAATCCTTTGCTGCCTAGCATTTTGGAAAAATATAAAAATGAAAATTTTTTGTTCTCTAAATCTGATATTGAGCAGCTAGATCACAATGTTAATTAAGATTCAGAAAGTGTATGATGAAGTACTGGTTTGGCAATTGAGTTGTGGATGAGTGGAACAAACTCCCTGATAGTGTCACTGAGGCAAGAACTTTGGGTGGCTTTAAATATAGGTTGGATGGGTACGTAAGTGGGTGGGAATAGACCTGCCTAGCATGAGCTAGTAGGCCTGCTTCAGTGTTCCTTCTTTCATGTATGAAATGTAAGCCAGTATAACGAAGCCCAACCTAAAATAACCTAATGTAATTTATTCTGCTAACGGTAGATTGCTCCTTAAAAGTAATGCCTTGCATAATAAAAATCTTTTTATAATGTAGTCTATACAGTATGTCAATTACCCTAATTGTATATGTACAGTATACATACATACTGTACACCACTTTATAGAAGTAAAATTTGTTTATCTGTTTATGCTGTATGAGCTCTAACAATGACAGTGACAATGTTTATTTCCTTGTAAAGCTTACAATGCGTGTTTTACATGTTATAAAGTATTAATTACAAAGAAAGCTACTAGCATGCCTAGGTATTTCAGGCAGACTAATACTAATTCTTATTCTATATTGATATAGGTTATGAAGCAGTACATTTGAACATACATTATTAGATACGTACCTGCAAGTCCCTCCCAAGAAGCTCATTGCTAGTAATCCCTTCCTTAAATCACTTGTTAAAGCAACTGCTCAAGAAGAAATTTCTTGCCTGGCTGGTAGTAATAAGTTATCACAAGTTATATACACTGATGGATCTAAACAGGAGTCTTCTGGCAGGGCTGCATCTGCTCTTGTTGCCATCTCCCTAGTTAAGAACGATAATAAATTTGTTGAGTTAGGCATAAGAATTAACAACTGGGTGTCTACACTGCAAACTGAATTGTTTGCAATCCTAATGGTGCTACAGCTAACCTATGACACTGAGCTTGACTCTATCATCATGACTGATTCTATGTCATCATTGAAGGCTCTTGACTCATATAATGACTCCAACAACATGCTCATTGGAGAAGCCAGGTATAGATACTTAAAAATCAGGGACAAAGGAATTAATGTACAATTGCTATGGATCCCATCACACTGGATCACTCCTTCATGATAAAGTTGCTATGTTAGCCAAGAAGAGTACCCAGAAGGAGAAGGTAGAATATAACTTTGGTATATCTGTGTCTAGCATTAGGAATAATATATTAGGAGAGAAGTAAATAATGAAAATGATTGTTATAGGAATGCACTTAGAAGCCTGAGTAGATCTATAACCCACTATGATAACATGAACATAGATAAGTATGTTTATAGAGCAACTTGCAATGTGAACAGACTCACTGATGTTGTAATGGCCAGGCTTAGGCTTGGTTACAAGTACTTCTGGCAGTTTGGGAGACACACAGATGATGATCAAACTAAATGCAAATTATGTGATCAGGCATATGGTCACTGTCTTGAACACTATGTGCTTAATTGTCCACTTATTATGGAATACAGAGATAGTATAATAACCTATGTGGTATGTCAAGATATCTTGTTAATGAAAATAGGATACCAGATATACTAAGCAAATTTCCTAAATTTGCTTGTAACAGATAAGTGAACTGTAGATATATAGCTAAAAAAAAACCATATGTACACCTGTTAACCCTTTTGAGGCCTAGTTCCTAGGCCTTTTATGTATCCATATGCTCTTGTGCTACCGTCCACAGGATGGATATGGGGTGCGCAATAAACTAGCCACTTTGGTGGCAAAATCTAAAATCTAGAGAGGGATGCGTGATGTCACCATGATTGTTTAACATACATGTATTTGTAGATGGGGTTGTAAAGGAAATAATTGTTAGAGTGTTGCAAGAAGTGTCTACCTGGAGGCTATTCTGGGGATCAAAGCCCCCACGGTCCAGTCCATGACCAGGCCTACTGGTGGATCTGGGCCTGATCAACTAGACTGTTACTGCTGGCAGCACATAGTCCAACGAACAAACCACAGCCCAGTGATCCGGCACTGACTTTAGATATCTGTCCAGCTCCCTCTTGAAGACAACCAGGGGTCTATTGGTAATTCCCCTTATGGCTGGTGGGAGGCTGTTGAAAAGTTTTGGGCCCCAGACACTTAGTGTGGGATTAAAATATGCAGAATCTAATACAAAATGGGAGCTGTCACAGTTACTTTTTGCTGATGATACTGTGCTTTTGTGAGATTCTGAAGAATCTCGCAAAGGTTTGTGGACGAATTTGGGAGGATGTGTAAAGGAAAGAAGTTGAAAGTGAACATGGATAAGAGCAAGGTAATGAGGGTAACAAATTAGGCGATGATAGATTGGAGAGAGGGATTAGGTTAGTAAGGTTCATCAGGAAAAAGGACAAGTGTTTCCTGATGTGGGTCTTAGTCAGATGATGACCTGCTGTTGGAGCTTCTGGTCATCTGACCAAGGCCTTCAACTGGCTTACCAATCCACCCCTTTGAAAATTATGGTCATAGTTACAACCATTAGCTACTAGGAGGAAGGGAGTTTGGAGGAAGTGAATGTGTTCAGATACTTGACAGTGAACCTGTTGGCTGATGGGCATATGAAAGATAAGGTGAGCCATAGAATTGATGAAGGGAAGAAAGTGGACGGTGTATTTAGGTAGCTGTAGGGAGAGAGAATGTTAGCCATGGAGGTAAAGAGAGGATTGTATGAGAGTAAAGAGAGAACTGTATGAGAGTAAAGAGAGGACTGTATGAGAGTATAGTAGTAGCAACTTTTATATATGGGTGTGAAGTTTAGTTTAATATCATTATTTTGCACCCCAGACCCATGGTGTGGGTAGTAGACAAAAGATCACAGAGGTACATAATGGCTCCAGGAACTGGACCCCAAAGTTTTGATAGATGAACAAGTTACAAAGTTAGTGAACTCCAGGTAGATCTGGTCACAATCATGACAAGTTACAAAGGTAATGAATTATCTACACTTATATACATGGTTACAATCGTGAACAAATTACAAAGTAATGAGACATTCACATGTCCACACCCAGTCACAGTAATGAGTTATAAGAACAAATATTAATTGGGTCTCTCACACAAGCGCATGCACGCACACACACACACACACACACAAACTGGTGCTGCATACTCCAGGCCCATACTGGAGTATGCAGCACCAGTCTGAAACCCAAACCTGGTCAAGCACGTCAAGAAGTTAAGAGACAGTACAAAGGTTTGCAACAAGGCTAGTTCCAGAGCTCAAGGGAATGTTCTACGAAGAAAGGTTGAGGGAAATTGGACTGACTACACTGGAAGACAGAAGGGTCAGGGGAGACATAATAACGACATACAAGATACTGCAGGGAATAGATAAGGTGGACAGACAGGATGTTCCACAGAGGGGACACAGAAACAAGAGGTTACAATTGGAAGCTGAAGACTCAGACGAGTCAAAGGGATGTTATGAAGTACAGTGGACCCTCGACCAATGATGGCATCGTATAACGTTAAATCCGACTAGCGATACATTTTAATGCAAAAATTTTGCCTCGACTAGTGCTAAAAAACTCGACCAATGCGATTCGTTTCGTTCGAGACTCGTCCACGTGTGGCCTGCGCAGTGTTTACAAGCCAGCCACCGCGGCCGCATCCAAATATACAATCGGAACATTTCATATTATCACAGCATTTTTAGTGATTGCACCTGCAAAATAAGTCACCATGGGCCCCAAGAAAGCTTCTAGTGCCATCCCTGTGATAAAAAGGGTGAGAATTAGTATGGAAATTAAGAAAGATTCTGAAGGGTTTGGGGCTAACCCTGAGATGCCTATGCCAGTTGTGGAATCCATTGTGCCTACTTCAAAGATTAAGGAAATGTGTGCAAAGTGGGTTGAACTGCAAACCTTTATGGATGAAAATCACCCTAACACAGCTATTGCAAGCCGTGCTGGTGACTATTACAATGGCAATGTTGTGGCCCATTTTAGACAAATCGTAAAGGAACGGGAGGTACAGAGCTCTATGGACAGATATGGTGTGCGATTGAGGTCCAGTGACTCTCAAGCTGGTCCTAGTGGGATTAAAAGAAGAAGGGAAGTAATCCCGGAAAAGGACTTGACACCTCAAGTCCCAATGGAAGGGGATTCCCCTTCTAAACACTAACACCTACACTCTCCCCTCCTCCCATATCATCAATCATCACCAGATCTTCAATAAAGGCAGGTGTCATGTAATTGTACATGTCTTCTTCAGTTTGTGTATTAAAATTAATATTTCATGTGGTAAAATTTTTTTTTTTCAATACTTTGGGGTGTAAGGAACGGATTAATTTGATTTCCATTATTTCTTATAGGGAAAATTAACTCGACTAACGATAATTTCGACTAACGATGAGCTCTCAGGAACGGATTAATATCGTTGGTCGAGGGTCCACTGTATTTCTTAAGTCATAGAGTCGTCAGGAAGTGGAATATCCTAGCAAGTGGCGTAGTGGAGGCAGGAACAATACATAGCTTTAAGATGAGGTATGACAAAGCTCAGGAAGCAGAGAGAGGACCTAGTAGTGATCATTGAAGAGGCAGGGCCAGGCGCCGAGTCTCGACCCCTGCAACCACAATTAGGTGAGTACACACACACACACACCTGCAACTACAACTGGGTGAGTACACACACACACACACACACAGGGAGAATGACCTAGTAGCGACCAGTGAAGAGGCGGGGCCAGGGGCTTGGACTCGACCCCTGCAACCTCAGCTAGGTGAGTACAACTAAGTGAGTACAGTATGCAAAGTCATGGAGAAGATTATCAGAAGAAGAGTGGT